TCTCATTCACACCTCCCACTCTCTGGGAGAGACGGAAAACCAGGAAAAAAGGGGAGGACACGCCTTGCAGTGATGCGTTTGTGGGTGTGTCTGTGTCATCTCGTTGCTTTGTAAACCGTATGTACTATTTCAGATAGAGCTAATGATGGAGAAAGATGAGTCTGGATGGACGATGTAGACAGACTCTGGAGTGGGGATGCAGAGAACCAACTTTCAGTGTGGAGAGGAGACGTACTTCTTAAACCCAAGAAGCCGATAATTGTTCAGCAATATTCCAAGAAGGCCAGGACCTCAGTTTACCTGTTCTTTGCCTCCCGTGAAGCTGACCATAGGGGAGTTTAGGGCAGACGACTCTCAGTGCCTTCCATTCCTGTCATGGGGACGGCTAGCGCTCGCCGCCGTTAACTTGCTGTCCTTTAATGATGCTAGGGAGTTACCATGAGGCCCCAAAGCCCCTCTCTCTTGCCTTCGGTTGTCACCCAGCGGAATGCACAGAAACAAATCGCACTCCATTCACTCTTACGGCAAACGACGAGCAGGCTCACTTAGACCCCCGCTTGACCGTGAGTCATCGAAAGTCACCTTTAGCCACGCACACGTTCTGCTTTAGGCAATTACCACGCAAGGAAATATCCTTGACATCAAAGTTTCACGGAGCATGATTCAGCCACGAGGGGCTGGAAAGCATTTGGGGTCTCCTGGGACCTCCCTGCCGATACTGCTTGCTGCGTGCGCCAGGCGATTGGCTCGAGGGGACGATGCTGGACCACAGAGAGGCAGCCTTCACGCAAGGTCCCACCGTGGGGGACTTCACTGGGAGGAGAACAGGCCATGAGTCATATGTCCACTGCAAAGGTGCGGTGTGACTTCCACGGGAAGTAAATGGAAATGGTAAAAACTTGGGACAAAGCAAAAGGGTTGATTATTTGAAATCATGGATCCCGCCCCGGTATCTAGATTACTTAGGGTGCCGACTTTTCAAAGAGTACAGTAGCTGTAGTGTGTTCTTTCTCATGTTTTCCTGGGCTGGGGGGGGGGAGCAGAGGGGCTGAGGGGCAGAGGAGAGGCCAAGGGGGCGGGGGCAGAGGAAGGGCTGAAGGGCAGAGGAGAGGCTGAGGGGCTGAGTGAAGGAAGAGTTGAGCCCACCAACGCAGCGCCCTGAGGGCACGCCCTGAGGATCACACCCTGAGGCTGACTTTGTTTTCTCCGTGCCCTGTGACCTCTGAATTGGTCCTCAACAACAGTTTCTCTTTGGATTTCCATCTCTAGCTCTACCACGCGGGACATAGCCTTCACACGCATACACTCCCAAACTGGTCTTGGGGGGGGGAGTTTAATTGGAAACCTTTAGCTATTTGAAGTTACAGGTGTAAATCTGTGTGTTTTCTTGTTTTTAACATGCGCCAGGACATGTGTGCAGTGCACGTGGGTGTTTGTGTGTGCCTGTGGAGACCAGATGCTCACATGGTTATCATTGATGTTGTTGTTATTATTCCGTGTATGTGGGTGTTTTCCCTGCATGTGTGTCTTTGTGTCACATTTCTGCCTGGTGCTGGGAATGCCCACAAGAGGGCGCTGGATTCAACTGGAGTTGCACATGGTTGTGAGCTGCCAGGGATGTGCTGGGAATCAAACTTGGGTCCTCTGGAAGAGAAACGAACTAGCCTTCTTAACTGCTAAGCCATGGCTCAAGCCCCTACTCCCCCCCCCCTTTTTTAGGCAGGTCTCTCACTGAACTGATACTAGGCTAGGCTGGCTGGCCAAGGTGCCCAAGCATCTACCTACCTCAGCCTCCCCAGTTCTGGGATCACAAGCCTGCATTACCACAAGTGGCTTTTTACATGGGATCATTCTCGGCCCGAGACTGACACAGCCACTCCCTCAGCCCCTTTCCTTTTGTAGACAGTCGTGTGTTAACCCTGCGTTTCCTTTGCCCAGATGCTTTGTTTCTAGTTAGGGGTGGGAGGGAGATGTTTACCTCTGCTCAGGAAGAGGGCCACTGCTCACATCACTGGTACTCAGACTCTGTTGGTCCCAGCGACTTTATTCTCCGGTGCACAAGAGAGCAACTTTACCCACGCGCAGATCTCTTTATGGCCATAAAGCAGAGAATTCAGAGATCCAACGCTCCTATGATTCAGTGATCCCATGGAAAAAAATTCTGGATGCTTGTTATATCCAATATGCAGCCACAATGGCTTATTTACACACGTTCCAGTTTCAGCCCAAAGAGGAAGTGTGGCCCCCTTCAGAGTTTCCTCTCTGAGCAGCCTGTGAGAGGCCAAGCCTCCCCCGGAGCCATTCCAGACTCGTGGGAAATTCCCCTGTTCTAGAATCAGCCGAATGATTCAGGCCGTCATAGCCGTGTGAGCCTTTCTGTGTCAGCACCACAGACCGTTGTGTCTAAAACTGTGGCTCTATGGGCATCTGTCCAAACACTCCAGGAAGTCCATTTTAAAACCGGACAGCAGGTGGCGCTCTAACTTCAGGAGTCCGGCTCCCAAATCCACCAAGAAAACAAGGGGCGTTCTCAAGTGCCTTTAAAATCATATATATATATTTTCCTCTGCCAAGGCAGAAATGTACTCCATTTTCTTTAATCAGGTTCGTTTGCTTCCTACTGTGTGACTTCAAATGGGTAATAGGAAGCCAGACTTCTCCCCAGCTACTTTGTTTCCTAGAGCAGTGTTTTGAGATTTGCCTGAGTTGCAGACTCTGGAGTGTAAGCCTGGCAGAAACAACAGAAAAGCTGTATTCACCTGCAGAGTTTCTGTCCCCCCGGTGGCTCTGAGTGGCTTCTTCAGACATAAGGGCATGCTAGCCTATAGCATGCTCACCATGGGGGGGAGGGCAGAGACTATTTCCCACCCCGTGTGAGGCCAGAGGAGCTGTCGGGTCCAGCATATAAACAGCCATCCCAGAACCTTAGCTGGACGTCTAGGTGGCCAGGCTGCAGGCTTGGGGCCTGCTGATGACTTCACAAGGAGGTGGCACCCCTGTTCCCTCCTGCTGGCACACACAGAGCATGGGCAGGGCAAGCAGCTCTGGAACACTGGCACACTTAACTCGTGTGTACATCCGCAAACACACGGAGCCTCGCGCACTCCCCCAGCTACACTGAGTTCTCGGTGTGAGCCTCAGGTGCCCAGCGGATCAGCGGGCCCCCTCCCTCCATCAGGACAGAGAGAAGGTGCTGGAAAGATGGCTCAGCAGTGTAGTGCTTGCTATGCCAGCGTAAAGAAAGAGCCGAGATCAGGATCCAGAACACGTTCAGAAAGCTAGTCGTGGTGGCACACTTTTATAGCCCCAAAGCTAGAAAGAGGAAACACATGCATTTAGGGTGCTCACAGGCAGGCAGTATAGTGGAATCTGTGGGCTTCCGGTCAGTACGGAGACCGTCTCCCCAGACAGGAGGATGGTACGTGAGAGATGACACTGAGGGTTGACTTCTGGCTCCTGCACATGCATATGACACATACACAGACACAAACATGACTATCCTCACACACACACATACATGACTCACGCACTCACACCACACATACACATGAAATACATACACACATACACGTATACGAACCACACACATACCACACAAACACAGACACACACACACAGATACACACAGACACACACACACACAGAGATACACACAGACACAGACACAGACACACACGAATTGTAAACTAAGTCAGGCATGTGGTACTGCAGTCCCAGCTCGTGGGAGGCCAGGAGGGTCGGGAAATGAAGGTCATGCTTGACAACAGTGAGTCTGCAGTCAGCCGGTGCTCTACGAAACCTTGTCTAAACAACAACAACAACAAAATGAAGACAAAGCAGCAGAGACAAGCAGAAGGGAAACCATGGATAAAGTTTGAAACTGAGTGACGAAAGAGAGAAGAAAACCAACCGGAACAGAAAGCGGTGACAACAAATGGTAATGTCACCACTGAGGCTGAGCGCCCAGAGACCCAAAGGTTCATGAGAGCGAGAGCAAGCCTCCTCTCTGGCTCCCTATGGCGTCATACTGGAGGGATTGCCAGAGGAAGCTGGGTGCCCTAGGAGAATGTGGATCGAGCCTCAGCCTTCCTTGCCTTACGGGGCCCGTGCAGAAGATGGGTTTGGAGCACAGAAAACAGCTGAGTCATTGTCTCATCCCTGCTGCTCCTCATCCCAACCAGGGAGAGACGGAGGATGAGTCACCAAAGTAAACATCAGGCCTCCGTGTGGCCCCCAGCCTGAAGGGCAGCGGGCAGCCAATTGACTCATTTCCTCTCCCTTTTCTCCGGTGTGGCACAGAATTTCGTGGGAAGCTGCACGGTGGCAGGACCGGCTTCTTCTCTTTGCAGGAAGAGTCACGTGGAGTGTTCTCAGTCTCCACAGACACCCCATCCCTGTGACATCATCCTCTGGCTTTCTGACCGCGACTTTGCTTTCCATAGAAATAGATGCAACGGAGAATGGCAGGGCAAGAAGATGTCCCTGTGTGTCTTTTGTCCAGCACAGACATGAGTGGGGACTTGAATAAGTGTGTTTCTGGCGCAGCCACTGCACTCTCAAGGGCTTCCGTTAGTAGCTATTCTGTTGTAAACTCTAATGCATTGACATGGAACCATCGCTTTCCTTTGCTGGTATGTTTACTTCTGCAGGTAATTTTATTCGGGAGAGGTGAAGAGGGAAGCCGTTGGTAGGCACAGGTCCTTGGGGAGAGAAAATGGAAAAATGCAAACATTGGAAATTCAGCCTGAGGTCAGCTTGGTACTTGCCCTGGGGAGTGTGTTGGACTCCAGCAGGCCTCGCCTCGGGATGGAGGAGACGGCCCAGGGAAGAATGCCGTGATGTTTGAGGTGGAAACGGGCTGATATATGTCCTGCGTCTTGTGATTTGTCTTACATGTCCCAGGGTACAATCTTGTTGGCTACATCTCCTACTAGCTTTGTCAAGAGAGCTCTGCCTGCATGCTAACCTCTGTCAGTGACATGACCTCCCTTGCTGTTTAGCAGGTGAAGACGGCAGTCACTGGATTCTTCCTCTGGACGTCATGGCTGTGTCCTTGCCCGGTATCCGTGACCCCATGGGCTTATCTGCTCCCCTGAGTGCTTGCAGAGAGTCGTCAGTGAGCAGTCAGCAGCCACCTGTAGGTGCCTTCCCAGAATGCACCCTGACTGAACGCAAGCCTCCCTGCGATGGCGGCCCCTGAGATTCAGATGATCGTGAAAATACTTGATTCTGTCCAATTCGTCCCTGCGTTAGCCAACCTAGGGCGGTCCTCGCTGTCTTGCTCATTTGTCTCTGTTGGAGCTCTTTTTTTTTTTTTTTTTTTTTGGTTTTCCGAGACAGGGTTTCTCTGTAGCTTTGGAGGCTGTCCTGGAACTCACTCTGTAGACCAGGCTGGCCTCGAACTCACAGAGATCCGCCTGCCTCTGCCTCCCGAGTGCTGGGATTAAAGGCGTGCGCCACCAACGCCCGGCTCTGTTGGAGCTCTTACTGTGCAGTTAGGCCTAGGATGGGGTCTCTGTGTTGAGTTAGGACAGACTCCTGGCTTGCCGGTCATCCACGAAGCATTTATATCACACCTAACAGTGTGTGAATCTCAGACCTTACAGAAATACACAGTGGGGTCTAGGATACATGTGAACGTTACACTGTTTTACATAAGGAAGGACTTCATGTTTTCCTGTGGCTATCAAGGCACAGGTATCTAGGCAGAAAGGGACACTCGGTCCAACCGTCACTTTAGACAACGAACCAGCCCCATCACTGGCTCGTTAATTAGCGAGACAAGCTTCTAGGAGCTCTGGGAATTGTGTTGTTTACGTTACTCGGTGTTCAGACTTAAATCTCATCTGAGAAATGTCTTAACCCCTTCGCCCCGCTCCAGATTTAGAACATCCTTGTAGTCCCCTTAAAACATGTAAAGGTGAGGGGATAAATGGCTGCTAATTTTTACTGGGTTTGCTGAAACCCAGACCCAGGGGAGATGTTTCTGGCATAAGGTCCTTACAGCTGGCACCAACCAAGTTCCTCGTCATGCGGTAGAGCCTCACCCCCTTTGTAAAGTGTGGAATTTCATGTTCGCCCCTGGAGGGAAGACTTGGCTCCTCCTCCTCCCCCTCCTCCTCCCCCTCCTCCTCCCCCTCCTCCTCCCCCTCCTCCTCCACCTCCTCCTCCCCCTCCTCCTCCCCTTCCTCATTTACCTTCTCTCTCTTTTCCTCCTCCTCCTCCGCCTCCTCCTCCTCTCGAGGCAGGGTCTCTCCTTCGCTCCCTACCTGCCTTCTTCTCTCCTCCCTCTCCATCCTTCAGTCCCGTTTTCCCTCATTGCCCAGGCTGGTTCCAGACTCACTGCGTAGCACAGGATGGCCCTGAACTAACGATTGTCTTGTGCTGCTTCCTGAGTGCCTGGATTGTAGCTGTATACCGGCAAATTTGGTCCTTTATTTTTTTTCTCATCAGAAGCTTTAAGTAATTAAGTATGCATGAATTCATGGAGTTTATTCTTTATTATTTGTTTGTATGTTTGTTTGAGACAGGGTTTCTTTGTGTAACCCCGGCTGTTCTGGAACTCGATCTGTAGACCAGGCTGGCCTCAGATTCACAAGAGATCCACCTGCCTCTGCCTCCTGGGTGCTGGGATTAAAGACAAAAGCCACCTCTCCACCTAGCCGTGAGCCTATAAACACAAACAAAATTAGAAACCGCAGACAGTTAACATGTGCTTGGTTGGTATGGCGTGCCTTTGATTTCTTGAATTAGTTATCTCCCAGTGACATCCTCACAGCGAGAGCACCCAGGAGGGCCACCAGCTGCAACAGCAGTCTGGACGGGCCCCAGGTCCGTCAGATCTGGTGTTTCTGAGAAACGGCCATGCTGAGCCTCCAGAGCCAGTCTGAACAGATGTGGTCCTCACACTGCCGTGCTCAGTGTTGGAGCTGGAGGCGTTGATTAAACCGGCCTGAGCATCAATCAGTGGGGCTGCTACTGGCTTCTCCGGTTTGTCGTGTCGATGGTCTCATTGCTTGGTCTCTGGGATGCTGAGGAGGAAGGGTAGTTAGTGGTGTTGTCTCTTCTGACCTCACCGCAGAGGGAGATGGTAGCCAAGAGCACAATTACCACACTCTGCCTACACTTTTGGCCTGACTCACGTAATTCTTGGAATAGCTAAAGAAGGGGACAAAAGGAAACCCCTTCTTGTAAAATAATAATAATAATTTCCAGCTATTCTAGAAGTTTAAGGGATGGAGAGAGTGACAGCCTTGTCGTTAAAAAGACTTTCATCAGACTACAGGTTCTAGCTGGTCTTCCAAGATGTAAGAAGGATGAAGGACCCCCACCTCCAGGAAGCCCTCGGTGACTGGAGATTCTTTGTAGTGGTCCCTCCTCAGCCCACCAGGGCTGTGGGGGAGAGGAAGGGCGGACACAATTGGGATGACTCCGTGTTCTCTGCTGCTTTGGGTCCTCTGTCTTACCTCCTTGGGTATGTTGAAACTCACGAGGACTAGGAAACTACACTAGAGCCTCACACACAGCCGCTGTGCCTACGCCACGAGCCTCACACACAGGCGCTGTGCCTACACCACGAGCCTCACACACAGCCGCCGTGCCTACGACACCTGGAAGCCCAGCGCACATGAATCTGGGGACGTGTGACTACTCCTGAGTCCCATGCCGGTCTTCCTGCACAGCCGCACACACAGGAGGTTCAAAGTGGGAGGAAAGCAATTCTCACTACAGGTCTGCGCCCTGCTCCTCTGAAGCCCACCCCTAGTGTAAGATAGGTCTCAACAAGACAAGTCCTCTTCTATAGTGGGTAGGACAGCGGGAGAGCTGGCCCTAGACAAGGCTGGCGCTGACGTCCATTGTGCGTTCTCTTCAGGCCCCCATCCTTTGACGAGCTGGCTTCTCTCCTCCTCATCCAGACAAATGATAGCTACATGGACTGGGCCACTCCTGCCCAGGCGCATGTCAAGAGGAGCAACTGCAGAACTAAGGGAGCCCTGTCTCTCCTCAATGCATCCTCAGATCACGGAGCTCCCGGGATCAGTGGTCAGATCATGAACCTCCCAGGAGGTCTGTCTCTCAGTGGTCAGATCACGGACCTCCCGGGACAGTGTGTCCCTCAGTGGTCCGCTGTGCTCACGTGCACAGTGCTGACCCATCATAGGGAGCAGAGCTGCGGTGGTGGTTTCCCAGGCAGGCAAGCCAGACGCTCAGGAACTGTCCCCATGAGGAACAATGGGAGCTGAAGAAAAATGGCTTTCCGAAGGAAAAGGCTGCTCTTGACACCCACCACCCACTGTTCACAATGGGAAGTCTCCTGAAGAGTCAAATGTTAGCCGCACGCCAGAATTCCTCATAATGCAGAAGGTTCAAAGTGAAAAATTAATACTTCAACATCACACACACGCACACACACACACACACACCCTGATTCCGCACAGCTGCCCTTGGAAGGCTTTCCTTAAGTGAGTGATAGGACTCACTTTAGAAGGAATCACCTTTGGTGGATACCGCCAGGGACGGGTCCCCCACATGGCCACTGTCGGATGTCCGGCTTAAGCCAACCCTATCTGCCGCCCAGATTCAGGAACACCTGACACGCTGACTCATGCTTAGAGCTAATGGCCCAGCTTCCAAACCCAGCCCCGCCCCTCTTGAGATATTTGTCCAGCCGTCAGCGCTGCCAGAGCTCTGGCTTTTCTTCAGTCGCGGGGAAGGGAGCAAGGGGATCGTTCACAAGACAGTGGACACGAGGAAATTCTCAGTAAAAGGCGACGGCGCAGCCGCGTGCTTCCCTTAGTCACACATGTAATAGAAGGGGGTTCGCTATCCATTTTCCCAGTCTTGATGAGACACTCTCAATCACAGGGTCCCACAGGAGCTGTTTACCTCAGATACTGCGACGGATACTTTACTACAGAGGTAGCTAAGTGAGAACCTGAGTAGAGGGAGCAGCGTTCTTCCCCCACGCTCCCCTATAACCAGAGAAAAAGAAACAAAAATAGAAATGCAAAGGAACCCACAGGCGAGGCACAGGAGATAGGTAAGTAAAGAGGGCAACGGGTTTCTGAGGGTGAATGGGAACCATCGGAGGGTACCAAGTCCAAGGCCTGCTGTTATGAGCCCCTTCCACACACTGTTTTATTACCAGAAAAGGCAGAAAAATGGGTACCGACTTTAACCTGGTCCTGGGTCCTTATTGATGTATCGGTGGTGGTTACTCACCCCTTGCCATGAATAAAACCACTCTGGTGAGCAGTACAGAGAGTACCCCAGATGAAAACAAATCGAAGAGAAGCACAAACACATCAACCCGTGGCCTCCAGGTGATTAAAGTTATACCCAGAACGTACGTTAACTGTAACGTTAGGCCAGATGGGATGCGTCCCATGTGGCTCGAATAATGATGCCTTCTCTGTAAATTTAGAGGAGGAATTAAGGGAAGACGTCTTTTCACGTGCCACTGGCCTTAGCTCTGAGGTGTAGACAGGGATGCTGAGGGGGCGGCCCAGAAGGTTGAGGTGTGGACAGGGATAAAACACGCTGACCGTGAACTGAAGCAACATCCATAGAGGAAGGAGAGGCAGACAGGTCGGAAGGGCAGAGGTAACAAGATTAGAGCCCTGCGTGTCAGGGGGAGGCTTCCCAACTCATCGCACAGGTAGGAAAGGGACATTGGAATGGTCTAGAAGATCGTTGTGGTCACGTGATGGTTTAGGAGCACTGCCAGCCTCCTTGTTCATCCTGAGGGTTGGTTCTGTCAACTCGCCAGCATCTAGACCTTCACGGGAACACGCCTCTGGGCTTGCCTGGGAAGCATTACCTAGGTTAGGTAAACTGAGGTGGGAGCGTGCGCGTCCCAAACGTCAGTGGCACCGTTCCCGTTGGCTGGAGTTTCAGACAGCTGAAGTGGGAGGAGGCCAGTGGGACAGCCACACTGTCACCTCTCTGCTCCTGCTGACCTGCCGTGACGGAACACGCCCCTCAGACTGTGAGCCAAAATAAACCCTCTTCCCTCGGGCTGCTTCTCATCAAGTTCTTTGACACAGGGATGGGAAAAGCAGCCGATGCCATCCTGCAGAAGGGCACTGTTATTAAATGGGGGGTGAGGGGAACCCAGGAGTTCAGAGAGTGTCTGGGAATCCGAGTGGAGTTTGTGGGCTGCATTAATCCCGGCTCCCACTGCTATAACAAAGCACCACGGGCTGGGCAGCTTTACATAGCAAATGTATTTATCATCTCACTCTCGGAGGCGGGGTCTGTGATCCAGACGCTCACAAGGTTTACTCCCAGGTCCCGCCTGTTAACTTGCAGGCGGCTCTTTCCATAGCCTTCCGTGGGGGCGTCCATGCCCCGCTGCTCTCTTCTTACGATGGCACCAGTGTCATTGGGTCAGGGACCCCATATGACCTCAGTTTAGCTCGAATGCCTCTCTTCAAAGTCCCTGTCTTCAAATACAGCCGCATTCTGACATAGTGGTGTAAGGATACTGGCGTAGGGAATTTTGAGTAGGCAGAGTCTGTCCCCGAGCAAAGGTAACTGCAGCTCGAGTTAGGGTGGCTTCTTATAGCATAAGACGAGCTACACCTGGAGTCACGACAAAAAGCCTAGCTGGTGCCCAGGGGAAGGAACGGGTTGCTTGGTGTAGGTGCAGGTAGAGATTTGTCTTCCCAGAAGAAAGGAAGGCAGACGCTGTCGGCAGCTGACAAGAGCTTTGTCCGTCTGCCTAGGGCAGGGCTCCTCAGGGGCAGAGAAACAGGGAAGGAGGCAGGAGACAGCAGGACCTGGAGAAGTATCGGGGAAAGGGCGTGTGGCCATCTCCCAGGCTTTAGACAGAGAGGCGGGCTTCAGACAGCTAGCCACTTTGGATGGAGACGGCAGAGGATTACCAGGGCACAATACCACGTGGAGGATGGAAACTCACACATCGCACGGTGGCCTCCGTTGTAAAGCCCAAGGCATGCACCGGCCGGTGCTCCTGTGCTACTCAGTAAACCAGGGCGGGGTTTAAGAGTCAGAAGCCTGTCTCCATCCAAACTCGTGCAAACACACCTCGTGCCTGTCTCTTGTTCCCTAGAGCAAGGCCAGCACAGACGCAAAGGCCGTGTGAGAGATGTGAAGAAGCCTTCTAAATTCACTGCGTGTTGCTATTGTTTTATTTCTTCAAATTCCATGAGTGTGAAGATTACAAGGAATAAAGCAAGCTCCCCCTTCCCCCTGCCCCGCCCTCCATGGATCCACGTGGACTCAGCCGTCGGCTGTTCTGGACTGGATTCAGCTGCAATCCAGCTGTTTTGCCCAGATACCAAGCCCAAGCCGTGTAGACCCCCTCCCTGGAGTTGAATCGGTGGCCACTTTCTGCCACTGGGCCTTGTACGTGGAATTGCATAACGCAATATACCAAAGCTTCTCACCATAGCACCCAAAGTAATTTAGTGCCCACACAGCCAGAGTCAATGGGTGGCTGGCTGCTAACACTTCATAAATTACTTCAGTTTCTTGCATTTTTATATTGAGGTGTCACATTCCCTTCAATTCTAATATATCACTTCAGGACACGATGTCACTCTGAATTTCTTTTGAAATATGACGGAGAAGATTCTCTGCTTCTCTGGCATATACCAATGACTCTTTATTCCCCGGGACTGACCAACTTTGTCCCTTAACTGATGAACAGGACGTTTCCAAATGGTGCTTTGAAGAAACTAGCTTTTGCCAAGATGACATTTTTTTGCAATTGTTATGAAAATGGTAGGTGTGTTGGTTGTATCTTGAGGTCACTCTGCAAAAATCTACTTAGCCCTAGAAGATAATGGGCTCTCCGGGCAGTATCCTACACTGTCCAAAGAATCTGTGTCGTCTAGCTGTCTCTGGTGCAGAAGGAAAAGGTTTCTCTGGCAAACACATCTCGTGGCCGCCAACCCGGGTATTGCGTCTGTTTCAAAACACCCTTTTCCCTCATGAGACATGTGATGGAGAGGGCTGAGCCATCCCGGAGACTCCTGGACATAAAAGGAAGGGTCGCCACTGAATGAGAACAGAAAGGCTGGGGGTGGGTGCTGGGCAGCCAAGTGCCGAGCCGTTGTCGATCAAGCCTGCACCATAGAAAGAAGCAAGAGGGAGGAATACATTGTCCCCATCCCTCCTGTGAGGCCCACGGGCCACCCAATTCCCTCGCATGCCCTCTTTTGGTTCACTATGCTTCCACAAAGGCCAAAGTGGTTTATATCCAAACCTACCTTTTGAAATCTTAAGGCTGAGGAACCCATCCAGCCCCAGCCAGCGGGCTTTGAGCTTTCAGCTGATTAATAAGAGAGAGAAAGACACTAAGGTTGACGAGTTACTAAACCAGATGTGTGTGTGTGTGTGTTTAATGTATAAGAGTGCCTTGGTATTTCAAAAAATAAAAACTTCAGTCTTAGCCAACATAAACATGAGAAACAAGGAGAGAGGAATGCATTGGACCTCACACAAATGAGAAGGCCCGGATCCAGCTGCGCCTGGGAGTTTCCCTTGGGATGGTTTTCTTATGCAACCTCTTCTTTTCCTACCGCTGACACCTCCTCCCCGAGTGGAGCCCCTGGGAGTGTCCGTGCATCCCATAGCAGTGACACCAGGGCAAGGAACTGCCGCATTCCGCTCTGAGTTATAGACTCCTTCCACATTCATTTATCAAGTAAAGGCCACGGCACAGAATTGCAGATGAATTACTAGATAGGCGTGTGATAAACGAGAGGCGTGGACACAGTGCGTTTTGTCAGCTTTAAATTACCATTGACTGCAAGATGTGCTGTTGTTTTTTTATAACACTAAGAAAGGAATGATGGTTAGCATTAGTGTTCAAATGCAATGCCCCAATCTCAGTGTTAAGAATGAAAGTTTTTAAAAAATGCATGTTTTAGAAGCGATGGGCGTTATTTCCGGGATTAGATTATTTTCCAATTAGTGTCACAGCAATTTAAAATAAGTGTACGGGAATGAGTCAGTGAAGCTTTGTCAACAAGTGCTCTCGTTTCTGCCCATAAAAATGGAATAGTTTCATTTCCTAGTAAAATCTCCAAGTCCAACTCACCTGAAAAATGTGGCCTTGTCCATTGGTCCAGCATGTGGTCAGCATGGGTGGTGGCAATAATGATGTGTCCTTGTCCATTGGTCCAGCATGTGGCCAGCATGGGTGGTGGCAATAATGATGTGTCCTTGTCCATTGGTCCAGCATGTGGTCAGCGTGGATGGTGGCAATAATGATGTGTCCTTGTCCATTGGTCCAGCATGTGGTCAGCGTGGATGGTGGCAATAATGATGTGGCCTTGTCTATTGGTCCAGCATGTGGTCAGTGTGGATGGTGGCAATAATGATGTGGCTTTGTCCATTGGTCCATCATGTGGTCAACATGAATGGTGGCAATAATGATGTGGCCTTGTCTATTGGTCCAGCATGTGGTCAGCGTGGATGGTGGCAATAATGATGTGGCTTTGTCCATTGGTCCAGCATGTGGTCAGCATGGATGGTGGCAGTAAGCATGAGTGGTGGCAATAATGATGTGTCCTTGTCCATTGGTCCATCATGTGGTCAGTGTGGGTGATGGCAATAATGATGTGGCCTTGTCCACTGGTCCAGCATGTGGTCAGCGTGGATGGTGGCAGTAAGCATGAGTGGTGGCAATAATGATGTGTCCTTGTCCATTGGTCCATCATGTGGTCAGTGTGGGTGATGGCAGTAAGCATGAGTGGTGGCAATAATGATGTGGCCTTGTCCATTGGTCCATCATGTGGTCAGTGTGGGTGAGGCAATAATGATGTGTCCTTGTCCACTGGTCCAGCATGTGGTCAGTGTGGGTGGTGGGAATAGAGTACAGTGGATAGAGACATCTTCACTTTTCTAGAGAGACAGACAAACGGCCTTCATTTCTGACCTCCAGATGAGACTAGAATACCTGGCCAAAGGGGGAACCTGAGATCTCACAGTGCCCTCTTTAGTGAATATCACAGTGTTCTCTTTAGTGAATCTCACAGTGTTCTCTTTAGTGAATGTCATTCAGGGAAAAGAATGAACCGTGGGGAAATCTAGATATGGAAGACTAGAGGGTTAGGGTTCTCCAGAGGAAGGGACTAAATGGAGACACACAGGGGGAGATTTAGAGGGTGAACTGGCTTACACGATAATAAAGACTGAAAAGTCTCAAATATACAAGATAGAGAACTTGGGGCACTTGGGAAGTAAAGTTAGCAGATGGGGTGAGTGGGAAATAGGAAGTAATGGTGAACTGTGGTGATTCCTGTTGTGGGTCCCAGAGACCAAAGGCTTGACAGCAACAACCTGTTGTCCAAACATGCTCACACACACAAAAATATGGATGACCAGATTCAGGGAGAGAATAAATTGTGTTTCCTCTTCCTTTTATTCAAGCTGAACCTTCTAGAGACTTGAAGGTTCCACCCACATCGGTGAGAATAGATATTTGTCAACCCGTTGATTCAGAAATGGCATTTTTCAGAAATACCCTAACAGATGCACCTAGATATGCTTTATAGAGAACCTGTACATCCTTAGCCCAGTCAATTTAACACATGGACTGTTAAAAGGCCTGGGGACACAGCTCAGCAGTGCAGCTCCTGCTGGGACCCTCAAAGCCTTGGATTTGATCCCTAAAGCACTGGAAAATAAATGATAGAAACCACTTCAGGAGGAGGTGAAACATTCTGGAGAAAGACCAAACCTTCCTTTCAAAGTGAGTTGGAAATATGACCAAGGAAGGCATCCTGGGACTTCTGAAGCATCCTGGGACCCCTTTGTGTGACGTTGTCGTGGGAACCAGGCAGCGTCCAGCTCTGTTCTTCACCTTTCTCAGCCTCCTCGTTGTCAGAATGGCCCCCGCTGGGCACACTCACCTGGTCAACATTGCTGGGCTTACCCGAAAGATTTAATACCAAAGTCTGAGTAGATTTTGAATTCCCCTGTTTTTAAATCAATCAACCACTTGTAGAAAAAAAAATATAAGACTGCCAGCCACTTAACTGTACGGTAAAAACAAATTATGGATCATTGATCTTAAAAAAGAAAATCTAGCTCAAGTATTACCCTTGTGCCATTAAAATGGGTGGGGTGGTACACTCCCGTGCCTCTGCAGCAACTTTGATAGGCTCCACGCACTAGAACACGAGACTAGCTTTCCTACCTGGAGCACAGTGCACTAGCAAGAGCCCTCCCTTCTGGGGGTGAAGGGAGGAGCTGGCTGGGGACTACAGCGTCTCTCTTTTCCCCAGCCAAAGGTCAGTCTCCACAGCGCTGCTCAGTAGGAGAGGGGCACCCCACACCTCCCCAGTCCTTTCCCTCACCTCCCTTTCCACTCTCATTCCCTGCCTCCTCCTGGCCCCCACGCCCCCACTCCTCGGTGGCTCTCCTTCAGACGGCCACGCCTGGCTGTGCTCATTCCCACCAGGGCCAGGAAGTGGGTGACACGGGTTTTTCTCTTCTGCAATGAACACCATCTCTAAGTGGCTGACACACAGAGGAGAGGCTCCCCCGGCATGCGTCCCTGAAGACCTTTCTTTATGCACCAGAGTGTGTTCCCCTGGGCACACACAGGGGCATCTGCAGGGAAGGCGACCATGCAGGTGACTATCAAAGGAACGGGCACTACACAAGTGTTACCAGCGTACAATGAGAAGTGTCTACAGGGTCCCCCCGCACTGTGGGCATTGCAAGCGAGGGAATGTGCCCAGAGGAATTCGGGTGGAGATTGCCATGTTTCCTTGACATCCGTGAAGCAAAGCCATGAGCATAAGCTAGATGCCGAAGGCACCAACATTGTGAACCACAGTGCCCGTCAGCTCTCCGCCTAGAGAAACGCGTTGTGTGCAAACCTGAGTACAGACACCCAGGAGCTTGTGGGAAGTGGACATAACAAGGTAAAACAAAACACAACTTCTCATGAGAGAACACACGCCCAGTTATCTGACAGCATGCATGCACACTTATATGCACAAGTGTGTATGCATACAAATACACATCGGAGTGTGTCTGGTTATACACGTCCATTCACATGTGTGAAAAAGCACTCACATACGGGCATACACCCACATGGTGCTCACATTTTTACTGCCTGCACATTTACACACACACACACACACACACACACACTCACAGGCACTGGCACACAGATTCTTTTAAATCTTTTATCATTGGAATGCTTGCTTTCAGGAGCCAATTCCTGGCTTTTCCTCCTGGCATTTCCTGTCTGGATTTACAGCAGGCAGTGTAACGGTCCAAGGCTGTAAATAACACTGTCCCAGTAAATGACACCAGCTCAAAAGTTACTTCTTTACCGGCGGCTTCAGGAGGCAAGCTTGGAGTGGGGGCACTGATGACAGATAGGTTTGAGCTCTTCCGCCATCGCTGAGCTGATTAATGTACGAGAATGTACAGAGTCCATGGAGGCAAACACCACCATGTTAAATGTAAAAGGCAATCAGGCTCCGGGTAGCCACAGCTGCCAATACATGTATTTCAGGAAGTCAATTTATTCTTAAATGGGATTTTAACATTGGCTAAAGGAGTCACAGCCAATCCCTTATTTATCAGAAAGCCGTGTTGAGCAGAGAACAATGGGCTTGCCCGCCACACAGTCTGGAGGGACAGGAAGTCAACAAACTCCAGGAGGAAATACTTTCCTCCTTATTTATTTGCAACCCTGGGTGGGGTGAGGGGTCAGAGAGGTCAGATCTCACAGCGCTGCCCGGTCCTGCTCCAGGCCCTCCCAGTGGTGCTGGCTGTAGCTTTGATGGGAGTGGCCCCCTCTTCCAGACATACATTTCTGGTGGCAGATGGAATAAAGTCGCCTGCTGAGGCCTCCAGGAAGAGGGTTTCATTCTTTTGTTTTTTTTTTTACGTGTGTGTGTGTGTGTGTGTGTGTGACAGAGACAGAGACTCTATGTTTGTGTATATGTAGTGTGTGTGAGTCTGTGTGTGACAGAGATACTGTATGTTTGTGTATGTGTAGTGTGTGTGAGTGTGTGTGTGAGAGACAGAGACTGTATGTTTGTGTATGTGTTGTGTGTGTGAGAGACAGAGACTGTATGTTTGTGTATGTGTAGTATGTATGAGTGTGTGTGAGACAGACTGTGTGATTGTGTATGTGTAGTGTGTGAGTGTGTGTATATGAGTGTGTGTGTATGTGTGTGAGACAGACTGTGTGTTTGTGTATGTGTAGTGCATTTGAGTGTGTGTGTGTATGTGTATGAGACAGACTGTATATTTGTGTATGTGTAGTGCATTTGAGTGTGAGTGTGTGTGTGAGAGACAGACTGTATGTTTGTGTATGTGTAGTGTGTGTGAGTATGTGTGTGTGTGTATGTGAGACAGAGACTGTACATGTGTAGTGTGTGTATATGAGTGTGTGAGTGTGTGTGTGAGTATGTGTGAGAGACAGAGACTGTATGTTTGTGCATGTGTAGTGTGTGTATATGAGTGTGTGTATATGAGTGTGTGAGTGTGTGTGTGAGTATGTGTGAGAGATGGAGACTGTATGTTTGTGCTTGTGTAGTGTGTGTGAGTGTGTGAGAGTGTGTGTGTGAGTGTATGTGAGACAGAGACTGTATGTTTGTGCATGTGTAGTGTGGGTGTGTGTGAAAGATAGAGACTGTATATTTGTGCGTGTGTAGTGTGTGTGAACACAGAGGTGTGTACATCTGGGGTCTCCCTCACTCTCCATGTGAGTTTGGGGCCCACATTCTCCTGTGGATACTGGACACCTACCCAGCAAGCTACAGGGGTCCACTCATCTCTGAGGCCCAGCTGCAGTATCTGACACACAGCCACGAGCAGCTTTTCCATGGGCTGCCGGGTCTAGGATTAGGTCCCCATGCTTACAGTGCAGATGTCTTACACAGTGAGCTACCTCGGCTGCCCCAGGGAGCCCCATTCTCTAACTGCTCGGCTCTGTGTGACCAAAAGCCTGATTCTGCTTAACCTCTCTGGTCAGGTTCTTCACCCGAAGGTGCAGATGACACAACTCCCCTCCGTGATTTCTTGACAATTAGACAAAGGGGCTGAGTTTGGACTTCTGGTGATGGTTTAGCCAAAAAAGATTAAAAAAAAAACCCAGAAAAACAAAAAGCAAACAAAACAACAACAACGAAAAAAACCACTGCTTCCGTCTTTCTTTGTTCCTAGGCAGAAATGCACTTTGTATTGCTCAGAGGCCATGGCAGCTGGATGGGGACTTGGAACTGGCCCATGTGTCCATGAGATCAGGCTGTGGCCACCTCCCCTGTCACATGGGCGGAGCCTGGCATGAACTGCTGCTGAGGAGCTCCGGTGAGTCACATGAACCTGTGGCATCTGCATGCTCCATTAGCTGGAGCCTGGTTTGTTTTGGCACAGTGAACCTACTCGCCGGGCTTGAGCAGAAGCAAAGAGAAACCAGACTATGATGCAGGCAGCTGACAGTCACCTGACAATAGTTCCTGTGCCCTGAGGTCTGAGCACCAGAGGAAGGAGGAGCTTCCCGCAAAGAACTAGCAAGGCTCTGGTCTCTGCATGGAGCCCCTGGCTGTCCCTGGACCACAGTGTGGCCTCTTTCAGAACAATAGCGGGCCACTAAGGGGATTTAAGGTCATCCAGCAGCCCCCCCCCCCCCACATACACACAGTCTCACCTACAGCATCCTGTGAGCATCTCTGGGAACCTTCAGAGAGCGATCACGGCTATGTTTGTGTCTGGCACAGGCCTGTCCCCAGACCCTGGGGACAGGGACCTTCTGGGAGAAAACTGTTCAATGCAATCTTTGTTGAATCCTTTGGAATGACACAGAAAAGGACTTTTCTTAATATTATAAGGTACAAGATAATCCACGTGGGTCAATGAGAATTCGTAGGCTT